TTGGAGTGAGGGATGGAATAATATGACATGGGTGAACAAAATTAGTTTTGGATTTGCTATGAGACTTTTTCACAAGTCTTTCGACTGTTCATAAATGGGAAATACACTGCGAAATACCATACCAAATTCGTAAGATTTTTGGTAAACTGGACCACGATTTCATGGCCAGTGAGCTCTCAAACCATCCACTAACCAACAAACTAGGTCACGACTCGCATCAATCCTGGACTAATTCCATCAAAATAGAACTTCCAGACTTGATTCCTGAAATATGCAACAGGATTAGCGCGGAATTAGGAACCAGGCCAAGATCTCCCAGATAACAATAGAACCGGTCATGAATATTGGAATTTCATGGAATGGCAGTTGGTCCGATTTATGGTTATTCTGAGACTCTTTGAGATGGCTAATCCCCTCCCAGCTGATAACTGAAGGTTGTCGGGTTGTAGAGTCATGATTCGCATCCAATAAATGTCTCAAAAATATTTGAGAATTGAATTGCAAATGAATGGATAATGATGGTATTTGAAGCAAATCTTGACAGAATCTATGAGAGAATTTCGTATCAAGTAAGCAATTTTGATATAACAGTTAAAATTTAAGTAAGAAGTTAAAGTTTTTTTTAAGATCCTTATTTCAAATATCATTTTCTCACCTTCGTATATTTCGATGCAACTTTTCAATATTACTAACAAAATGTGAACGAATTTTACAAACGACAGATTCGAGTTAATTCCACTATAAATAAAGAGAAAGTTTCGATTGTTATCCAGCCTGACAGTCGAGTGAAAGAGGGCTTATCATGCCGAGAATAAAAGATGCGAGGGGTTGAAAATACGATCGTTTGCATAAATTTAAATCTCCCAGCTAGACCCTTTAACGAGCGATTTGGAAGTGAGATACGCTGAACGGAATCTTTACACCGTCTTGAGCTGGGAAGAGTCTTTGTCTTATGGCTATCTCTGCTACATTATGACGTCGTAAAATTGTTCTTTAATGTTGGAATAAGGTTTAATATCCCGCCTGAATCGTAAAATATCACCAAACTCTCGACTATTTTGTGACGTAGAGCAATTTGGTTCTCATCCCTGCCTGGTTTTTATTCGTTTTCTTTCTCATTTCTTATAATTCAAAAATTTTTCATGATTTTAGAATCATAATTTTGATATTTTACTGGAATAAATTATTCCCGACATGCAATATTTCCAATATAACAAGTTTAATGTTTCAAAAGATGATATCTAGTTTTCAGTCCATGGAATTTAAAATATTTTAGAACATGAATATATGAGTAGAGATTTTGACATTAACAGTCAATATATTTTTCCTTCAAATAAAATAATTTTCTGTCAAACTGATTGTACGTTTAAAGTTTGGAATCTCAAAATATATCAACGCTTATTTTTTCAAGAATCAAATATGCATTAAGCTTAAAAACCCTTCGCAATAAGCGATTTAAACGCACTTTGGAAAGAATTCTAACAATTTTATGCATTTAAACTAGTGATATCTGTTTCGGCAAAAAACGTAAGATTTTTAAACCACTGCTGAGTTAAAACAGAGTTGATGATAAAATGATCCCGGTGTCGGCCCGGCTCCTGGGTGGTAACTTCTCATTTTAAAATACAGTCAGTGAGAGACGGGACCCCCATCGTGTTTTAACAAAACATTACTTTAACATAACCCAATATTAGCTGTCAACGTCGCTTAAAACATTTCACCGACATTTCGAAGGATTTAAAGTGGAGAATGTCTAATTTACAAGCAGAAAACGAGTGTACGCCTACCAAAACCGATCTCGTAAAGCATGGATGCAAAGACCTATGGTTTGTAACTATGTTAAACGCAGTTATAGTTTTGCTTGGTTCAAACATATTTTTTTTATCAACTGATTTAAAAAAAAAACTGAAAACATATTATGATAAACAAAGCTTGTTTTTAAGTACCCAAAACATATCCAGGACGCCAATCCGGTAATCTAAACCGAATTTGTCCAAGTAATATGACCAAACAAAATTTTCTAGTTTTACTGTTGCATTGCAAAATTATTCGAAACATCAATTTTTATGTAGAAATGTTGATGTAAACTGATGGTAGAATCGGTTTACATCTGAAAATACAAGAAAAAACTCCCGTAGAAGTTGGTGATTATTTACAAAGTAGGGTGATGATGGCGGGTTTCATTATCCTTCAGTTAAAATTACAGGCCATTGACAGATAGAGTTGGCTTGTTCTTAACTTTACTTCAAATCCTGTCGAAATTCTGAAACCCGACACTAAAATACAAGACAAGAACGTTTGTTCGAGACTTTTGTGAGAAACTGTTGTTATTAGTCGTCAAGACACCGGAACTCGTTCCTTCTGTTTTGGTTTTAAACTATTCAATTTGAATTGTTGAGTATAACGGCCTCTCCAGTTCTCGATATCGCAGGCTGCCTGCTGTTACCCGACCCCCCTTCGTCAGTTACAGATTTGTCAAGGACTTCCCTTAAATTATCAACAAAGAGCTTGTCTGGGTTCCTTTGACGACTCTCAACATCAAAGTGGGATAAAAACCCTGGTGTTGATACGAAACGTCCCACTTTGTCAGCGGTTAAAGAGTTTTGACAACTGAGAAGAGTCGAACACAGTTCTTGAAAATAATATTCAAAGAAAAATTGAATATTTTTGACAGTTTTAAAGGACCTGTGATTCAGTAGAAAACTTTGTAAAAGTAAAAATGATACAGACAATGGATTGAAAACTTTAAAATCTGAATTTCAAGATTTAAAATTTTCTCAGCATTAAAGTGGCAATATGCACCAAATACATTGACTATTTTAAAAGTATATCGTAGTCTAAAAGCAGATGTAAACATGAAAAGTCTACAGAAATTGTTTTTTAAAAATCGGACCGTTTTCATAACATATAACCTTCATTAATAATTACTCCCTCAATTTCTGAAAACGAATAACGTTCAGATAAAATGAACTTTTGGACGAGTGAGCAAGCGTCCAAGTCATACAGCTTTCTGTACTTTAAGCAAACACTAACCAAGTTACTGTGATTGAATATAAAAGTAGTTTGGTTTTAGAAACAAGGAACCTTCAGGCTGTTTTCTGCAGATTGGAGTTTAATATCTCATCAAAGCTAATTATCAAGTGTAATAGACTTGGCCCGGGGGTGGGGGATCGAGAGGTGGGTGAAATTATGTCTCTAATAGTTTCTAAACTCTCAATTATTGTCATGATTTGTTCTCTCCCCCCGGGCTACGTTTAAATATTAAATCAGTGTTGCCGCAAGTTGAAGATAATTGGTCATAAATACAGTTTTGTTTCTAAATCAACTTTTTATTTTACTCAACTGTTATAGATCCATATCTAATCAAATCCTTATTCTTCGATTTTTCCTACTTTCGGTTTAGTTTCTGTGATAGCAATGTTTATTGTTGTTTCACTCAAGGACCATAATCAAGTTTGGACAATTGCGTTTAGTTATTGTTCTTCCTCTGTTCCTATTACATTAAACGGCATAATATGTCCATTTTTTTTCATTCTTTCTGTGACGTCTTTTGTGGTGTAATTGTAACCAAGATTTGGATTTCCTGTTTGGATCGATAATGTGTTGGTGACTGTTTTATGTATGACGAGGGTTCTTTTTATCGGATAAAGTTAGCATTTCCTGCCGTAATATGACAGTAATTTGTAAAACTTACAATTGAACAATCCCTTCTTTTATATCTACCTTTCAACAACTATAACCGAAATATCACAACTAGTCTCGACCAGGCTTTGTTACATTGTCATAGTAAATAGGATATATCCAATGAATGGAATGAATGAATGAATGAATGAATGAATGAATGAATGAATGAATGAACGAATTTTCAAAACTGTATCCACTGATAGTACAGATTCGTTTTAATCTTTCATTTCAATCAGAAAATGTAATCGAACCACTTCCTTCGACCAATTTGAGGGATGTGTGGTCAAAACCTAAGTTGAAAAGGGAGATAAACATTTCATTATCAGATCGTATCAAGATAAGAAAGGCAAAATGACAGACCAAGCAAATTAGAAATTATTAGAAATGACAATTTCCGAACAGTTTGTCTATCCAGTCTTTGAAGGGGTATCAATTTTGGTAAGGAAATCTTCAAGACTGGTTGATAGCGTCTAGACATGGTCGTCTGATTGACAGGGGGCGCAATGGATACTTGACGTCATACCTTCGATATTTGACATGGAGACGTCACGTGATTGAATTCTCGTCTTGTACGAGGCTTCTCAATTACCTGAGGGGTGAAACGCGAGAAGATGAAAATTATCTCCAAATTTACGGCTTGGGCGCCCAATGTTGATAGGAGGAAATCATGAAACGTATCTACCTCTTTCATCTTTCTACCATAAACCAGCACAATATGCAGTTAATTAGCGGGTCAAAGATTTTCAGTCAAAAACGATTCACTGAGGTTAAGTGATGGAGGCCATATTTCAAAAGAACATTCATATTTTAAGATTTTGGGAGTAAATTAAAACGATCATGAGTTAAGTAACCGCGGTTGAATTTCAATGCAGACGACAGTCGGGGATTAACAGACTTGTTTTCAAATCATCAAGTTCTCGCAGACGTGAATGCATGTTGATTGCATGATTTGGGGTTTCTAAGCCGCCATCTTGAAAAAATTGTAACATCGTAGAAGTTAATGTGATTAGTAGTTTATAAAAGAATTGAAATTAAATCACATAGTTAGAGGACAACATGTAATCACATTTAGCTTCATTCAGCCATTTTTATTCCATTTGCTCCGTGACTGCACAGCTTGGAATTATAACTTCCGATTTCTGCAGAACTATTTCAGATGACCAGAAAATTCAATTTGAAGCCACATTTAGTTTAAAAGTACATAGCGCCAAGAGTATATGAACGATTGAAACTATATTTTATTCAAAATTATATTCTTCAAAGTATACCATAAATGTGCCGGAAGTGACATAACATTAATCTCGTTTTAATTCCAGGTTTGGTTCCAAAACAGAAGATCGAAAGAGAGAAGAATGAAGCAGTTAAGTGCGCTGGGAGCAAGGCGGCACTTCTTCAGGAACCCACGGCGTATGAGAGGCCTGCGACCCGGGGAAGATATGGCAGATAGTCCCGATATGATGGGCGGACCACAGTTCGGTTACCTCGGAGGTAAGTCTCGTTTAAGGTCAATTTAACAATTAACATTTGAAAAAAAGGTTTTCAAATCAGTCCTAGAACAACAACTATTTAATGTTTTGAAATTCAAAATCTGCTGTAAATAAAAATGACAACAGCCTAACTAAAATATCAAAAATACCGAAATGCGTATTTGATTGTTGCAGCAACAGTTTTATACTTCAAAGCGATTATTTTATTATAGGAAGGTATTCGAATATTATTGCAATGTTTATTTCATATTTTTTTTTTCTTTCGATTTTGTGGCCTATTTTTTTAAATGACGATTTTAATTCAAAGTCACGTTCCATTTTAACGGCTTTGTTGCAGGTCTGTACAAGATAATCATATTTTTAAAAAAATATTTGATTTCTACCCTTATTGTACGATACGTGAGGGTACAAAGTGACAAAATAGCTGGGCTGTGGTTAATGTGTACTGTATGCCATATAATGATTAATGGATTCTTACTTAACCCTTTCCCCTCCATTCTTCTCAACATATTTATTCTATACCTATTGGGAGGTAGGGGGTTAACTCATTTTTCATCGCTTTAAAGAGACTTTTAAGGAATTTAACCTTTTCAAACTGTACGTAAAACGATTGGTATTAGTTGTATTGGGATTAACGTTTTGGGTATGAAACTGGCGTAAACTAATGAAATAACCAAACTTGTCAACCTTTGTCACATGAGGGTTAAAATATTCCCATATTTTGAACAATACCGTCATGTAGGCCTTTATTTATCTCCGGGTTTGGCAGATGAAAGATTTACATACTCTATCTCTCGGCTTAAAGGGATATTATTATAGTTTTCTACACTTTGTACGGATATTGCAGATACTTGTTCCCCTTTTTGCTTCATTCTGATATAAATTCAGAAGCCCAGAATCTCTTTGAATCACTGTAGGCCTAATTGCCGTGGTCTTTCCGGTAGAAACATGTAGGACGCAAAGACAATAGTGATGTAAGACTCCATTTTATTTCATAAGCGGAATGACGCTTAATGCGTAATGCTCCGATCAATGTCATTCCGAAAACGTCT